GTATATATAAAACCTAAAAAAAAATATTTTGTTTCATATCCTCTACGTGCAAAATTTTTAAAGGCTTAGCAACCTACATAAAGCAGCAACCAAGTACAAAGGTCATAACTAGAAGAGATAATTGTTTGCTTTAGTCGAGATAGTTATCAAATGTTTCTTAAGAAAAACTTTATATTTTATCTGCTATTTTCAGTGATTAATCTCTGTATGAGGTTTGGTAGATTTGACCGATCTTGCAACCACCTTAAAAAATTACGGAATAAATATAAAATATGCCTCTTTCATTCTAGAATGAACAGAAGTTATAACACGAAAACATAAATGTTTAAACTAAGTAGCTAAAATCTCATATCATTATACATTTATATATATATTATTTTTATTATATTGACCTTTCACTCGTCCTGGTTAACAATACAGAAGTTACAATGACACGACTCATTACAGTCATGTTACCTTATCAAATAACATAAAACTGACCTTCAGTCTATGCAAAGTAACTTGTCTTGGCTGTGTTGTAGTCGACTGGTATTTTGTAAAATACAGTCACATTTCAATCATTATACATTATATATGTATATAGATTATTGCTATTTAGAAATAAGTTCTTAAACTTATTTTTCCTAAAACATAGAAAAGTAAATAAAGAAGATTATAAAGATTTCGCATGTGAAATTTCAAAATTTTCTGATGCATAAAAATATTAATAAATCTTAAAATAAATATTACTTTGCATGTTGGATAGGCAACATGTGAAAATAATAAAAAGGCATGATAAAAACATTGTTTTATAAACCTTAAGTCGTAATAAAAAAAATTGATATTTTGCATATGAAAGCATTGTAATGTTTATTGATAATCTACCAAATTTTGTTAACATTCACATACTAACTTAAAAGTTATAGCATGAAAACTATAACAAGCACAAAATAGTTACGAGGTCAGTCCTGGGGACTGAGCCTGTGCTGAAAAGAGTTAATGGTTTTTCTTTTTTTGTTTAATCTTGGAAATGAAAACAATGGAATATTTACCAAATCTTTATAATTTTGTGCCTCTTACAGTTACCATGCCTAATAAAGTAATTGGGATAATATGAAAACAAAATATTTGTATTAACCAATAAAACTTGATATATCAAATTACATGTCATTCTCTATTGAAATGTTAAATGCTCTGCTTTAAGTAGAAAGCAAAGAAACCTAATCACTTAAAAAATTACATTTCATGATTTTTTGTGTCAAAGGCTTGCACGTCTACTTTAAAATGGCAGCTAAAATGCCATAAAATAGACTACCTTTTTTCAAAATTTTCTGGGTGGAAGACCCTCATATAAGTGCTCACTCATTCGCACCCTGTTCTTGTGCCCCCTTTTGATCAACTCTGGATCCACCACTGATGTGATCTATCAGAATATGAAAATCAAAAGTGATTTTGTAATATTTAAAGAAAATGTTAACACACAACCTACTATTATACTACAGCATGGAACTAATATAATCTGTTATGATGTTTCAATATTTTAATTTATTCAAATATCTTATTAGGGCATTTTGGGTACAGTGGATGCCAGATGAATTGATTAGACAGCCTTAACAGGTTTAACTATTAATGTATTGAATTTTATTACTTGTATGAAAATAGAATGTTGTGTTGTGTACTTATATAATATGTTCTGGATTATGCAATGTATAACAGGAAATTCATAAGTTAAAGCTGTAAAGATTAATTAGAAAATAATAACCAGTGATTTTAAAACTGTTTGTAAAAATTACATGTATATTAAGTGCATTTTATTGAAATCTTTTTCTTTGAACTATTTTGTACAGCTGTTACAGTTTTGTTCATATGAACAGTTGTTACTTGTTGAGTAAAAATATGTATACTTTACGTTGTTACCATACACACAAACTCACTGACAAACATATACATGTGTGTGGGTGTAGAAAATTAGTACTTAAACAGTAAGGCAAAAATTAACATCAGAGGGAAGGACTACATTAAAAACAGCAAATCCAAAAGTGTTATGAATTATATTTTAATGAAAAACTAACAAGAAATGAAATTGAATACACTGTATAAGTTAAAGGATCCCCAGGATAATGTGCCCTGGATTTTGAAGATGACTGCAGAAGTAGAACCCACATTGCTGTGGGGATACACTAACTATCAGTCTTAACCTCCATTTGCCAGTTTCATATTTTGATGAAAACAAATCATCAAAAAAATACAAGTTAGCAGAGCAAAATGTGGGTATTCAAGCCCACATCGTCCTACATCTATATCACCATTCACTGCCTGCAGACATTTGTGTAAAAGTGACTGCTCTCCAAATTTAAAAAAGAAATTTGAAAATAAAGTTCTACCACTGGGAGTAAGTAAGGTAAACTTACCTCCTGTTATTGACATTCCAGCTTCCATTATAATAGTAAAGTCCTAAATTATCAAGTTAATTAGTAGTACAGTAGACAAATTATGCTAATATAATAGCCCAACCAAGTCATTTAAACTAGAACTCCCAGCCACCACCCATTAAGTTTACTAGTAGAGTCCACTGTATTTACCGATTTTCAGACTTTTACTGAGCCTTTATATGCGATAAGGTATTCATCCACATAAAAATAGTGCCAAGTTGTTTAAATGACCTTATTATAAACTAAAAATGATTTTTGAAAATTTCAAACAAAAAAATTTTAATTTTTACTTCTTTGTATTCATTTAATCCATTTTAATATTTATCACAAAAGGTTTAATAATTTTATTTAATTTTTCTTTATTAAATATATTAAATACTAATTTTAGCATCAATATTTCAACATTAGTAATGAAATGTTGTAATTTATTACAAATTTTACAAAATCTCAGTAATTTTGAAGTTATAATACTTAGAAGAGTATGGCCTATTACTAATAAAAGAAGGTAGGCCTATATAAAATTAAGAATATTTTCTTTTATCAAAAACTTTTAGATTGATATCATTATCAATTTACACTTTTTATCTGGTAAAATTAGAAATTGAAAATACTTCAATTTCGGATTTAAAGACACACCTCAACCTCCTGTACAAACTAAGGGTGGCTTATTTCTACTATAAGAATGTTATAATATAATTTTTTTTCTCTACGACATCAATTTAAAGGGTGTAACTTGAGTGGTTTGGTTTAATTCTACATTAAGGTTATTTCTAAATATTAAGGGTAACTGCCTTCCCACAACTGGCTGCAGACAGTGAAAGGCAGTTGGAGTTGAGTTGTTGTGGGTTCAGGCACTCAATTTCTAACCCTTATCTAATTCTCCTTAGTTGCTGGTGAGTTTTACATCAACATTTGGATTTTGCCTAATAGATTGAATATCCCAAACACATTTGGGTGCCATGATCACAGGCATTATCCATTATGACTTAAGGACAACAACAAGGAATGATAACAGAGGCATAATTTTGAGTTTCAATTCTATTATATTGTTTCTGGTTTATATTAAGTTCATTATTGTTTTATAGTGTTGACCTTAATCGCCTATGAACAATTAATATATTGCATAGCATTAGATATATACTGAGTTTCATGTGCATGTTTTTATGCACATGAAATTTGGGGCATAACATATTTGAACAAATCTGTTCTTATAGTTATGCATCCTTTAAATAATATTTAATAAAACATTTTAACAAGTGACAATTGTGTTTCACTTCTAAAGCAAGGTTTGAAATTAGCAGTCATTAGCTGGTAGAAAACCAGTTTGTTCTAGTGTTTAGCCAGTTTTGCTTTTTTTTTTGTTGGTTGTTAATTCTGGCATAAATATGAATATTCAAAATAATTTTTAGAAAAAGCTGGCTGCAAACATAATATTTATGGAAAAAACAATACAATAATTGATCAATAATGCTTTACTGGTAGTTTTTTGCACATCATTCCCTTGCATCTTTCACTGGAATTTTTCAAGTTCAAAATAGCAAGTAAAATCAGTACATTCAAGCAGTATTTCACTTTATTTTTCATTTCGTGTTAGGAAATGAAATATTATTATTACAAAAACAGTTCTAGGCCTGGCATAGCCTGGTGTTTAGAGTGCTTGACTTGCAATCTGAGAGTCATGGGTTCAAATCCCTGTCACTGAACATGCTTGCACTTTCAGCTGTAGAAGCATTATAATGTGACGGTCAATCCCACTATTTGTTGGCAGAAGAGTAGCCCAAGAGTTGGAGATGGTTATGTTGACTGGCTGCCTTCTATCTTGTCTATCCTAAATTAGGATGGCTAGTGCAGATAGTCCTCATATAGCTTTGCACAAAATTCAAACCAAACACAAATCTAAATTTTGATAACATATTAGAAATATGGAATTGGAAATGAGATACTTCTTAGACATTCATGTCAGATGACATGTTATACTGTGGCTGAGTCTTTTGTATGTAGTTTTTAAACTAATTGGCGTTTATTTTCCAGCAGCCAAAAAAAGTTAGCTGCAAGCCCTGTAAAATTTAAAATTTCTGTTTGAAAAAACTTACTTTAATTAAATTATTGTTATTTATACTTAATTGATTGTGACACAAACTTGCTGTAAATTGTTTTTCAGAAATACTTCATTTAATTCAAGTTTTCAACAGTGGGATGAGTTATACTTTAAGATTAAGCTATATTTCATCTAAATAATATGGCATTTTATGTGTTTTCAATAGCTGCCATCTACCTTTGCTGTACATTGGTCTAGAATATGGGCTTACTCACAATATCCGCTTGGCTGAACGATTTTTTAACCAAGCCCTGGAGATTGCCCCTGAAGACCCATTTGTTTTGCATGAATTAGGAGTAGTGGCTTTCCAGAGTCAAGAGTAAGTATTTTAACATTATTATGAAATTGTTTATTGCAATATAAGCAGTAATATTTATTTTACTTGTATAGAGAGAAAGTTCATTGTGACACAAATTAAGATGTGAGATAGTTATAGTAATTCAGTATACAGAATTATTTTTAGTGTGGTTGTTTGGGTTTGATACATGTAAACATAGAATCTAACAACTCTTTCAGGTTAATTATATAAGTTATATTGTTGATAATCCTAATTAGAGTTGTATAGCTTATTCATATGCAACATGTTACTGTTAGTAATCTCTTATTGTTTTTGTGTTAATCATACAGTTCAAAGAAACCATTTTGAGAGTACCTAAAATAAAAGAATTTCATTGTAAGGATAATATCTGTCAATACAGATATTTTGTTATAACATTATACAGAAAGTATTAGAAAATTTAATGGTGGCCATAAATATGTATGATGAAACTGAATTAATTCATTGAAATTTTGAAAACAGAATGTTAATTTTAAAAATGGAGAAAGACTTGTGACCCTATGAAATATCGGTTTTATCTTCAAAGATGAATTTACAATCATCACTTGTGTAGTTTATAGAATTAATAATATAATTTCATATAGAATTTATTTTGTTTTGGATATATATCAAGTGGAATAAAGTTTCAAGTATTTGTTTATAAATGTGTATTATTATTATTATTAATCACACATTATAAGAACAATGTTTCAGGTCTAATACTGCCCCTCAAGCTACTTTCTCCATCCTCAATTATGTTTATTCTGATGGCCATGATTATGCACTGTTGTGTATCATACAAATTCCATTGGAACTTGACTCTAGAAAAGAGTAACTTATCTCAGATTTCAGGCTTCTCAAAAATTATGCCGTTGGAATTGTTTAACCCTCCTGCCATGATCATCCTTTACTGTGCATGCCATGAGGCTTTTTAGTGAGTTATGTTTAAAATTTAATTAAGCTACTTTTTGTTTATGTTATACCAATTAGTAAAGCAGAAAATTGTATATAAATATTAAAATTTGGCTGAATACTGGGGCCAGGTGTTAACTGGGATCAGGTTTCTCCCCTCACCCCTTAACCAAACAAACAACAACATACACAAAAATTAGAAACAAAAACAAAATTGACGTTTATTACATTTGACCGAATGGCATGAGTAATCAACGAGGCATTGCTCGAGACTTTGTGTTTTACTCATCTTGACCATCAAAATTTCAGTAGCAGCATCTTCGTTGTAACATTTTCTCGTTTTTGTCGCTCTGTATGGTTGCAAATTTGTCTTTATGAAATGAAACGAGATTATTTCTCAGCGATTTGTTTCCAAACGTTTTGGGTGATGTGCCACCCATAGATATCATGGTGGAGCAAAGAGTGCACTTTGCAAAATGATCTGCCTTGTTTTTTACACAAAATATCTCCAAACCAAGCTGTCCGTGTGTACCGTTGGAATGTAAAATCACTAAAATAGCAAGTTAAAATAAATATTTGATTAAAACAAGGTAAAATTAAACTTTACACGATAGCAAGAAGTGGTGATGAACTGAGTTGAAATGCCTGGGGGCAACAGCAGTATATAGGGTGGAAAACTGACAACTTTGAATGATTGAAAATTACTTACCAACTTCATGCAATTTCTAAGGCCAGTGAAAGTAAATGCAGAAACAGTAATGTGGACATGTTTAGAATCATTGTACCAATTAATGCCTAGCCCCAACTTCTCAAACCCTAACTCCTATTGTTTTTAAAAACCCCACCTTACCTAGAAATCCACTTATCAAGCCATGCCTGTTATTAACCCCTATTATTCTCTGAATCCCAGACTTTCAGCAGGCGGTCAGTCTTTGTTGCTCGGAAACACATTTTTTTAACTAACCCAATTACTGGCTGTAACTTTCAAAACCGCATTAGTTGACACAATGATTAGGGCTTAGATGCTATTTTCAATTACCCGGATTCGGCTGTTTTTAACTTCAACATTTGGCTGGAGGCGATTATTACCGGGTAGCCCAATACCTGGCCGGGACTGAATATCTGGGTGGGTACTCATGCATCCCTAAAATATAATAGTACTGTATGTTGTCTGTCTATGTAACTACTTTGCAGAATGTAGATATATATTCACCAAAATTGATATGGAGGTTCATTAGGTCCATGTGGAGGTACATAATAATTTTCAGTTTTGTGTTTTGCTGTTTTCATGAACGTTTTTGCGTTTTTTATCACTACTTCATCCCTTGTAGATGGATCTTTGCCAAATTTGGTATGGAGGTTTATTGGATCCATGGGGAGATCCATACACATTTTTAGGTTTGCATTTTATGGTTTTATGGCATTTTTGCTTTTCTTACCATTACTACTCTCCCTTTTGATGGATCTTCACCAAATTTGTCATGAAAGTTTGTTGGGTCCATGCAAAGATACATGCAAACTTGTGGTTTTGTGTTTTGCAGTTTCTATGGGCATTTTTTACAATTACTCATAAGGGAAGCTACTTTTCATGTCAAAAGATAACCTTTCATTAATCATAAATTTATGTAACTTCCATCCAGGGGACGGGTACTCCAGCTAGTAGTATATAAGTTTTAAGTTGTTCATTTTATAAGGCAATATTTAAAAAAACCTGAATTTCCTTTAGTGTGAGAAATGTGACAACTTTTTTCTAGGCATCCTCTCTTCTCTAATTTATGCATCACCAGTCCAATAAACACGAAATGTAATGTAAATTACTCACTATAATATTGTCATCACTCAGACAAAGCATAATTTTCATAGCCTTCAATCTTGTTTTGTTACAGAGCCATCAAATACAAAATCAGACCTCTCTTGTCACACCCACCTGTCACATCCTATCTTTAAGGATTTGTTAATAACTCTCTCTTGTTAAATACTATATTGTTTATAACCAATAGAAAACCAAGGTTTTCATCTATCAAATGACATATTATATGATGATGTTTTCTGTACAGAGAATTGTCAATTTATCTTTCAGTACAACCTTTGTTCCCAGGAAACATATTGACTAACATGGATGAATTTGTAATGGGTCTTGTCACAGAAAAATTGTGATAGTTATGGACATTGTCTGCTTTTTGTATGTTATTATTCTATATTCTTTGGTGCATTATTTAATT